TATCAAGTTTCTCTCCCCCCTCTTTTACTAGAGGGGAGACTGCGGCTCTTAAACAATGCATGGAGCAGTGTGTACTCCAGCTAAGAACTCTTTGTTCCCTCCAATCTAAACTTGGGTTATGTTTAGTGAGCCAGGGGAATCCKAGAATGAGTTGTGGAGCAGGAGAGTCAAAGATGAAGAATTCACTTACTTCATGGTYGTTGCCAGATATGATGAGAGATAATTCCGAAACTTTGCCTGAGATCTTAGCCAACCTCTCTCCAGTGACACCAGTGATGGAGCGAGGGGTGGTAAGTTGGGTAACTGGTAATTGGAGTTGTTCCACCAGACCTTGAGAAATGAGGTTCAGTTCAGCACCAGAGTCAATTAGAGCAGAAATGGGTAATCTAACATGGGAAACGAGTGCAGGAAGTGAAAACAAACTGTCAGGGGAAAACCGAGAAGGCTCAGACAAAGACCCCTGCTTCATTGTCGAGCCGTTCCGTTTCCCCGGACCGGACAGTTTGCTACAAAGTGGCCTTTATTGCCACAGTAAATACACACTTTACTTTCAAATCTTCTCTGTCTTTCTTCTGGTGTTAGACGAGTTCTACATACCTGCATGGGTTCAGGCTCGGGTTCGGGTTGGAATCTCGAGTTGGACGGTGTTGTTTCAAACTTCCGGGTGTAGGCGTGCGGGGCATCATGGGAGACGTAGTCCCGATCACGCTTACGTTCCCATAAGCTGTTATCCACTCGGATGAACATTCTTATTAATTCGTCCAATGTACGGGGTTCGTCTCGGATGGCGAGTTGGTCCTTGARGTWATGATTTAGTGAATGAAGGTAAATACCTTTCAGCGCGAGTTCGTCCCAGCCAGCTTCCTCAGCGGCAATCCGGAAATCAACGGAGTGATCGGCGGCAGATCTGGTTCCTTGTTTGAGGGAAATTAGGCGTTTTGCTGCTGCCTCCTGGTGGAGGGGGTGATCAAACACAGATCTGAAATCTCTCAAAAAATCCTCAATGGTTAAATAGTCAGGGTTATGTGAAGACAGATAAGCTTGTGCCCAGCGTAAAGCTCGTCCCTTCAGGTTATTGACAATGAATATTATTTTAGTACTGTGAGATGGAAATAATGACGGGGAGCGAGAGAATGATAAATTACATTGGAGTAAGAATCCTCCACACTGACTGGTGTCTCCTTCGAACAGAACAGCGGGTCGGAAATCTGGTTCCCGGGTAGGTGGTGCTGTGGGACAAAGAGCTGGAGATGGAACAAGAGAAGGTGAGGCATTAGTTTCGAGTTTCTTATCCAATAAGTGTACGCTTTGGGATAATTCTCCGATCAACTGAACAGTGTTTTGTTGATCTTGCCGTAGATGTAAGAATAAATTATATAATTCATCTAATTTAGAATCCTGCGTCTGACTGGGTGCAGGATTCTGTGGCTTGCTGGTCTTACTCATGATTTTTGGCTGAAGCAAACTATCACGAGTCGAGGCAGATGAGCAGACCAGCAATGAAACCACATAGAAACCAATTCAAAAACAAGTAACAGTG